TTATTATTGTCTGTCTACCGATAATTAATATATTCAAATTTAAAATAACTATCAAGATGAATACACATTTTATTGATTAATGTTTTATAATTTAATAATTACAATTATATTATGTACATATCAACCCCTCTTGAATTTGTTTTTGTGTATGACATTGTACTGCTAGGTATCGCTGACCGCTGCTGTTCGTACATTTTTTTAATTTGGGTGGACTGCATGGATAAATGTATAATCGTATAGGTACCTAATAAACTCGGGGAGGGGGAGGGGACTCGCCTATTTATTATTTGTTAGGTACCATTATCGTGCCATCGTGTGGAAGGGCCAAAAAAGTATTTAGGGGGGGGGGGGGGGGGCTGAGCCCTCCCTCAAATAGCACTTATGCGTGACATTGATATCAGAAATTAAAATTTACACGGACATATTTGTAAACTTTATTTACTTATGTGACTATGACAAATTTACTAATGTTTTATGTATAATTGAATTTACTTTGATTACATTTGTATATTTAAGGGCACTCGTAGTTGAAATACGCACAAAAATTTATACAAACAAAATTTACATAATATGTGATTGTGATAAATTTACTAACATTTTACACATAAAATGAATTTAGTTTGAAAACCTTTGTTTATTTACACAACATTTTCGGTTGAAATTTGCACAGAAATGTATGTGAACATTATTTACTTAAATATTCATGACAAATTTACTTACTTTTACATGCAAAATTAATTAACATACATATTCTGTGTAAATTTACATTGCGTCGTTAATTGAAATTTAACAACATTTTTTACAGTGTACTTATTAAATAGGTACCTATAATATTATACTCGTACATGTAATATTATGTAATATAATTTATTTACCTACACATATTTAGCATTACCTACTGAACAGTATGATGTGATAACTTTTAAATATAAACATGTTTTTCTAGAAAAAGATAGTCGGTAAGTAACTATGTAATATATTATATTAAATATATTTTATTACCTATTTGATTTTACGTTGTATATATAGTTGAATGGATAGGCCTTAATAGTTTATAATATAGAATCTAAACATATTAATATGATAGTTTATTTTAACAACTTTTAAGTTATCAGTCAAGCAATTATTAATTAAAGCAATTTCCTAAAATTAATAATGGCCCAATAATAAATAATAGTACCCATTTCATAAATGCATGGTGTATAAATGTATAATATTGTATTTAATTCCATAGCTTATCATTTTATAAGTAATTACTCTAACTCAAAATTAAATATTACTAAGAAGTAAGAAACCACCTTGTTTCTTTCTTTATAACTTTATTATAGAACTTATTTTGGATTTTGGTCACAGACGTTTCATTAGTAATTTATATGTCTAACCGGATACACTCATATATTACGCATTTACGCATCGTATATTATTTTATATATTTATTCAAATTTTTATACTTAAATGGACGTGTACTTATCGGAATCAGAATCGGATGACGAAACCTTACTATTAGTAGCAATGATCGATGACGAAGAACACGAAAGGTATATTATCTATAGTCTCAATAAAATATTAATGTAAAAATATTGCATTAATACTTTTTTTCTAGACATCATAAAAGGAAATGCTGGGTTCATAACATAAATAAGGAACGTGAAATACTTGGAGAATATACTACTTTAATGCCTCAACTAAAAGCAGACCCAACACGATTTTTCATATATTTCAGGATGATTCCAGATTGTTTTGATGAAATCTTAGGTTGGATTTCAGATGAAATATGTAAGATTCCAACAAACTTTCGCATGCCGATTCCTCCTTCAGAACGACTAGCAATTGCACTAAGGTAATATTTAAATTAATTTAATACATTAAATTGTTATGTAATACAATTTGTTACCTATACAAATATAGGTAATACAAATGCTCTAAATCACTTTATTCAATTAATACTTGATGTATTTACATTTTATAAAACATAACCCATGTTCATTGTTCATAATAGAAATTGTAATTAAATTAAGTTTAAGAAATAAAAAATATACAACACTTGTTTACCATGAATAACGACCAAGATTTGTGTAAGTCTGTGCACAATTTTCAACTGATAAATTAATAGCATCAGTGTTCTGGGTTTTAGTTGGGTAAGCCACGTGTTGGTCAGTTGTAGGAGGGTAACCGCGGTCTTCATGATACACCACGTCATCATTATTTGATTGATAATTAACCGCGTGCTGGTCAGTTGTAGCATAGCAGGGTAATCGCGGTCCTCGTGATGGATAACGTGCTGGTTAGTTGAGTGGGAGCCATGGTAATTTTCATTTTCTTCAATTTGATCCATTTCTAAATTCCCAATAATGTTAGAAATTTGTTGTTTCGCAGTAGCTTGCCTTCTCGGAGAAAATGTTTTTATTGTTTTTGCGTGGCTAAGCATGAGCATTTCAATAGCATTAAGTGCACTAGTGGTCACTTTTTGTTTTTTATTTAAATGCTCAATAACTTTGTCAATATTAGACACCGTGTTCTCTTTTTGTCTTTCTCTACGCACACTTTTATTATGAGTTGAAGAAGCGGGAGGATTGATTGGAGGTAAAGTCTCTGAAAAGCTACCATTCAACTGTTCTTCGTTGCGACTGCATTCGGTGTCATTGAGCACATCTTCCACTACTTGTTCTCGAACATTTGACATTGTACTTTAATAATAATAAATTAAACAGTTAATTTATTGTGGAAAAAATGTAAAATAACCTAAACCAAAAAAACGAAAAATTGTATGCTCAGCAGATAACTTAAGTTTAAAAACTACAATGAATTAACCTCTTATAAAATGTAAAGCTAGAGGTGGCAAATTAGGAAAATAGGTACATATTATGAGAATTTACCGGTCAATAACGATTATTCAATTTTATATATACATATTAATATACGTACAATATATATTATATATACATTGTTATGTTATTTATTATTGAAAATAAAAATAATATATATTTATAATATATATGAATGGATTTGCCATTCCTGATTTAGGCAATATCATTGGCTTTTTATTGTATTCTAATTTTAAAGCAAGTTATATATGAGTATTTTATGATGTAGGTACAATTTATATAAGTATTTGCTTAAGGGATTTTTTTTTCCGATTACCGCACACATATAGTATAAAGATTGGAATAGATGTATTTTACAAGTATTCAATCTTAATAGTACTTTAATAAAAAATAAATAAATAAGAATAAATACTTACGTAGCGAAACTTAAATGTGGTCTTAAAAACTCCAAAGACTTCGCCCAATTATATTTTTTATATTGGTCCAAATGTCTTCCCTTTGATGTGCCTTCAGCTTGTCCAGTTGTAGTTGCATTAGCTCTTAAATATTTTTGATATGAATCCCTCAAATTTTTCCACTTTATTTTTAATGTCTCTCCTATCATTACCATAATAATTTATTTTAACGTTATGTAATAATTATTAGAAGTATATGCACATTTTAAAAAAAGGTCAGTGTAAATTGTAATGGATGGTGTTAACTTTGAATTCAATGATATGATATATATGATATATATTACTTTGTATACAAACAACTATTAGATTACAACAAAATAGCGTTTAAATATCTAATTAAAATAATATACTTTAGAAGTAAAACCCCTGTTCATTCATACATTTTTATAGGTTTTTCCCGACGCTTTTTAAAACTACTATGAATTTTTAAAATATAATTTATTTTAATTGTTTTCTTATGCAAGTGTTATATAGGTGCTAATATAATAAGTATTAATATATTAAATATACCTGCAATATTATGTACTTAATGTATTCAATTAATACATCACAGTTTTTTTTTCTATTTTTAATTGTACCTATACAATTCATTTTTAATATGTTATTCTGACATTAAAATATGTATGATTAGTTAATAAAAAAAAAAACTATAGTAGGTAGGTACCTATACGAAATAAACACATTAAACTTTATTCTCAGCTCATTGCTTCATTGATAGTTAGCTAAGCCGTAAGTTAAAAAAAAATAAAAAGGATTTGAAGGAAATTATTTTAATTATTACATTTTAATTAAAACACACAATAAATCGACATCCCAAGGCCAAAATACCCAAGATGAAGACCACCCAATCAATGTAAGTATGTGTTAATTAATAGGTACTTATTAATTATTATTTAAAATTTATTTAAATGCAATAAAAGTTAGCTATTTTATTTATAATGATAATATAAAATATAATTAAAATAGGTTGACGCAGATATAAGCGAATCTTCTAGTAATGCAACTACCAATACATCTGAAGCTGCTTCTACTTCTGGAACTACTTCAGAACCAATCAAACGACAACAGTCAATTTCACAAGCTTTTACAAAAGTAGCTTCATTTTTGGGTAAATATTTTATTTTTTAAATATTTAATTAGGTATTCAATTATATTAAAACTTTAATTTTTAGATGGTGGATCTCAACATTCTATATGTACTGAAGCTGTTATATATTACATTTGCAAAGATAATCAACCATTTAGTTCGGTCGATGGTAAAGGTTTTCGATATATGCTGTCACGGATTTGCCCATTGTATAAAATACCAACTAGAAATACAATTAAAAAATATATTGATGACAAATTTGATTATCTTTCACTGCGGTTTAAAGAAAAAATTGAAAATGCAGAAAATATATCAGTTACAACTGATGCTTGGACCGATACTTATACTATGAAAAGTTTTTTAGGAATCACAATCCACTTCTTGAATGGTTCGACTTTTTTGTCAGGTAAAAATTAGAATAATGACTGTTAGCGCAAATTAATTAATAATTTAAATCATTAAATCCTTAAATTTAATTCATATTATTTTAGGTACACTTGGTGTAGTAGAATTGACTCAATCTCATACTGCTGACTATATAGCCATATAGGAAGTCAACTTCTAAATACATTGAGTGATTGGAATATTAATAAAAAAGATATTGCAGCTGTCGTCACTGATAATGGGGCCAATATGGTAAAAGCAATTTATAACCAGTTTGGAAGAGGGAATCATATTCCTTGTTTTGCCCACACGATTAACCTTGTTGTTGAGAATTCAATCTCAAATTCTGAGGAGTTTAAACAATTATTGCACAAAGTCAGAGAGGTAGTTAAGTACTTTAAACGGAGTACTTCAGCATCTGATGAATTAAGAAAATTGCAAATAAATGAAGGTAAAATGAATTTATGATTTTTTTTTTACAAAATTTAAAACAAAGAATATTATATTAATATTTTATGTACAAATTTGTAGTTTGATTAAATAATAAATTAATTGTATTTTTCAGGAAAAAAGGAAGGAAATGTCCATAAGCTTATATTAGATGTGAAGACAAGGTGGAACAGCACTTTTTATATGCTTGATAGATTTTTAATATTGTCTGAACTCGTTTCTGATGTTCTTCTGCAAAAACCATCAGGTCCTGAAATGCTCACAGCAAGAGAGCTACAACAATTGCGTGAAACAATAAAATTACTTCGGCCATTTGAGAAAGTTACTCTGGAAATATCTGGTGAAAAATATGTAGTCATTATTAAAATTATGCCACTTTTGAATTGTGTTACTATAGAAATAGAATCATTACAACCTACGTTGGATATTGGGATTGAACTAAAAAGAAACATTATTACAGAATTGAAAAAACGGTTTAGTAAAATTGAGTTTTTTAATATGTTTCCTATAGCTACAATTTTAGACCCTAGGTTTAAAAATGTACACTTCAGAGATCCTGTAGCCTGTCAACAAGCCATAGTAGAGCTAAAAAAGTTTGCCAATAGTTCAATACAGGAAGCAAGCTCGACTGATTGTTCAAGTGTTGACGAAGAACAGCAATCTGATAATTTTGATTTATGGGACCACCATAAAACATTAGTACATAAGAAATATAAAAGAAAACAAACAAGAACAGATTTGTCAGAAACTACCAATGTAAATGCCTACTTATCACAGCCTTTAATATCTTTAAAAGAAGATCCAGTTCAATGCTGGGAAGATATGAGAACTGTGTATCCAGATTTATATGTACTTGCTCGGAAATATTTGTCCATCATGGGTACGTCTGTGCCTTCGGAAAGATTATTTTCAAAGGCTAGTTTAACTCTATCAAAATCAAGAAATAGACTGTTAGGAAAGAGATTAAGTAAATTACTTTTTTTAAACTCCATTGATGATGATCTTTGGTTTCAAACTTAATAAATGTTAATGTATAAATTGTAAATATTTGTACATGTATGATGTATTTGTATAAACAATATACAATGTATTTTACAATTTAAATAAATGTTAATTTTGTTACATTTTTTTTTACTAAATTTAAATGATATTTTAAAAATTAAATATACAGACATACAGTATACAGAAATATATAAAAATTGCAAATATAATTTATTAAAATTGTGTTGTTTTTATAAATATAAACTATCTTATAATTCTGTTAAATATATAGGTAGGTACATGCTTTGATTAATCAATTTGTTGGTCATTAATCCTATAGTAAGTATCGATTACAGATTACGGCCTCGGACTACGGTATAACTGTATAAGGTTTTATTGAAATAAATTATAATTTATCATCTATGCGCAAGTCAATAAACCTTTTACCTTTTTTAGTATTAGAAAAAATGTTCCGATATATATCGATGTATCGATAAAATAGTGGTCGATATATCGTGGTATCGATATTGGGTATGCAATATATCGAAATTTCGATATATCGATGGTCAACGATTTTTTGCCATCCCTAGTAAGTACTAGTGGTCGTCGATCCACAGTCCTATATAACAGTCTCCGNGTCGATCCACAGTCCTATATAACAGTCTCCGATGATACTTCATATGTAGCGGCGGGTGTTGATGATTTTTGAGTGGTTATGTTTTTATTTTATTTTATAGGTTCAGAGTTTAAGTGTATCTTACATGAGTGTTATATTTTGCTCGCTTCGTTAATTATAGTATTAATAATATGGGATTGCATATTTATAATACATGAACTGATGTCTTAGACTGCCTGTATAATAAACTGAGCGCGTAAGGCGCTCTCTATGTAGGATAATCTGTACAAGTACTTGATTTATGCTCAATGTCACCACTACGTGTCGCGCCGTGAGTGTATGATGTCGCGCCGTGATGGGCACGATCATGGATAAAATCGTGTTCGCTACATAGTCCCCTTTTGCTTCGTCTATGATTTAGGAGGCGGATGAAGAGTAAAAATAGACGAAGGAAACCTATTTACACTGATATACATATACATCTTACTTACAACTGGTACTTCTTACGTTTGAGTTCCTTCTTCTTTTTGTACCAAGCCTTCTTGGCAACTAACCTCTTTTCCGCTTTGCTTAAATTAGGTATGAGTGGTTTTTCACTGGTTGAAGTTACTGATGATGTCAGTAAGTTGTTACATACACGTGTCTGTTTGTAGTTCGTTGACTTCGGTTGCATCCTCTTCTCATCTCCTGGCGGGTCTTCCTTCCCTTTTTGACTCCACATTATTTCAAATGTAGCATCCAATACATTCCTTCCGTATATTACTCTTTCTGCTTGCTGTATGATTTCTGTTTCATCCTGTATTAATTCTTTAGGACAAACTTGTTCTCCGTTTACGTCCCTAATAACTATTGGAATACTCTGGATGGTTATAGTTCTTCCTTTCGTCACTTTGGCTTCCATCTGCCGCTTGATCTGTGCTAGTGCTTTTGCCGGTAGCACAGGGTTGATTTCTACTTTCGTGATCTGCAATCGTCCCATAGGGAGAGTTACAGGTTCTTCTTCCTCCTCTATATCACTGCATGATAAGTCCATGATATCATCCATTGACTGTGTCTCCTCGTCACTGTCGCTGTCTAAAGCCTCTTTCAATTTCTGCTTCAGTTGCCTTTCTGTTTCTAATATTTCCTCATCACCATCCAAATGTTCTTCTCCAAATAGTTCTACGATCTTTGACTTATACTTATTCATGATTTGTTTTGGGTTTTATTCTATGTCCTGTAGATAACAAATACATTTTCACAAACAACATATTTATTCATATCCACCAACCACCAGACACAGAACATAGAGTTTTATTATTTTTTTCTTTACATGAACTTGTCCACCACTCCCCCAGGATCTGGTGGAACATATGGTTTGACGTTCTTGATATTATATGTGACGGGTTTGCCTTCCTCGTCAACTACCACTGTATTGTTATTTCTTACTTCCATGATAACGTAAGGGCCTCTGTATAGTAGGAACAGTTTTTTTATTTCTTGATCTTCAGCAGAAGATAATCTCTTTTCTTTGATTAATATGTATTGTCCGACTGTATAAGTTGGAAACTTCTTTCCTTTGTCTTGATTGTGATTACGTTGCTGCGCTGATTTCTTCATTCTACGTTGCACCATTTGTATCAGGACCTCTGTATTGGTCACCTCAGCTTCTTTGGGGAATTGAATTAGTTTTTCCAGCATCAGTGGGTTCCTGGGATTTCCCATTAGCTCTTGCGGTGTGCTGCCAGTAGTTGAGTGTGTAGTGTTATTTACCCAGAATTCAATTTTAGGTAAATATTGCACCCAACTGGTATGTTTTTTATAACAGTATGTTCGTAGCATCCGGCCAATCTCTTTGTTGGCTCTTTCCACCGGATTCGCTTCTGGATGATATGTGGTTGTTCGCATCACTTTGATTCCTAATTGCTGTAGTCGATTTACCCATTGTTTACTGTGAAACTGAGTGCCATTGTCTGTTAAAATTTTCTTAAATGGTCCGCACAATGGTATATACTTTCTCTCTATCTTTGCGACGATTGCTGCAGTAGTGGCTTTTTTTAATGGATATACCTGAATATATTTTGAAAAAATATCCATCATTACCAATATATATCTGGCTCCGAGTTGCCCCGTTGGCAGCGGCCCTATTAAGTCCAATGACACCATTTCTCTGGGTCTGGCAGGTATAATTGATAGCAGCGGTCCCCTAGTTTGTTGGTTGTAGACCTTGCTTTTTTGGCAAATATCACAAGACTGAGTAATTCGCTTGATTGTCTTGAACATATGTTTGAACTGGCAGTCCATCCTTAACAGTTTATATGTTTTCGTTGCGCCACTATGTCCATACTCTTCATGTACTTCCCTGATTAATGTCAGTGCAATGTTTTCGGGGATCATTACTCGACACCTTCCAGTACCATCCTTATAGAATAGTAAGCCATTATGTACTTGATATGGTAACTTGACATCTTGTCTCAATCGCTGCATGATTTGGCAAATCTTCGGGTCTTGTTGTTGCAGCAAATATAGTGACTTGAGTTGTCGGGTAAGATCTTCACTGTACGATCTGGAGCTTATTCGATTAATGAATATTTGTTGATCTACCGGTGTTTGATACTCGGTGGTTTGTGGGTACCCTTGTTAAGGTATCTGCACCTATATTATCTTTTCCGGCTATATGCTGTATGTGTAGATTAAATTCCTGAATTTGCAATGACCACCTCATCAGTCGGGCGTTTAATAATCGACATGAGTTTAAAAATGTTAATGCTTGATGATCCGTTAATAAGTTGGTTACATGTCCTAGAATGTAATTCCTATACTTCTTACAGCCGTACACAATAGCCAACAATTCTCGTTCTGTAGTGTAATATCTTCGTTCAGCCTCGTTAAGGGTTCTACTCGTAAAACCAATAGTTCGGTGTTGGCCTTCAGAATTTACCTGGTATAACTCAGCACCAATGTGAGTACTGGATGCATCAGTAACAAGAAAAAATGGTTGCTTGAAGTCTGGATATCCAATGATGATATCTTCTAGAAAACACTTTTTTATTTGTTCAAATGCTGATTGTTGTTCTGTTTCCCATTTCCAAATGCAGTTCTTTTTTGTTAATTGGCTAATTTTCTCGGTTAGCTGCGACAGATCTCTAATATACTTCCTATAGAAGTTAATAAACCCAAGGAAAACCCTGACTTGCTTCTGATTTTTCGGGGCTTGGAATTCTTGAATGGTTTTGACTTTCTCAGGGTCCATACCAATACCCTTTTCAGAGATTATATGCCCTAAAAAGGTTATTTGTTTTCGTAAGAACTGTGTTTTTTGTATATTTTTTCTTACATTGTTTTCCCTAAATTTTTCAAATATTTCCCGCAGGTGTCTGATGTGTTCTTCAAAATTCGTCGAGGCAATGTGTATATCGTCCACATATGTCGCAGTTAATTCGAGGACTTCTGGCCCTAGTACTTTGTCTAGCATCTTTTGAAACTCGGCCACTGAGTTGATCAGTCCAAATGGTAATACTTTAAATTGGTAGTTCCGTCCCCTATGCAGAAATGCTGTTATTTCACGACTTTCTTTTTTTAATGGGCACTGCCAGTAGCCTGCTGTCAAGTCAATGGTGCTCAAATACTTTGCGCCATGAAATTTGTGTAAAATCTCTTCTACCCCCATAGGGCACTCTCGATCTGGGATGATTCGCTTATTTATCTGCCTTGCATCCAAACATATACGGATGTCCCCATTCTTCTTTTCTATGCCAATTATTGGTGAGGACCATGGTGAATTAGATTTTTCTATTATTCCTAAGTTCAGCATGCGTTGAATTTCTTTGTCCATTTGGCTTAATTTGGATATCGGTATCGGATATGGACGTTGATATATTGGTTCGCCCGGGACTACTTTGATTTGACACTCATATTTCTGAATTAGCCCTGGGTTGTCCGAAAAAATGTGTTGGTATTCTTTCAATAATTGATGGAATGTTTCTTTTTCTTGCTGGCTCATCGTTATACCTGTCAAAGGATCTTCTATAATTTCTATATTAGTGATTTGATTTTTTTTTACATTTGGTGTAGACGTCTTTTCCGAAAATGGAGTTGTTTGCTGTTCTCCCCCTATTGACCACCGAATAGTTTTGTCATTAAAGTTGATGTGTGCATTGTACTGGTTTAGTACATCAGCTCCAATTATGGCCTGTTCATTTAGATTCTCCACTTGTATGAAGTTGATGTATATTTGTTTGTCCCCTATTTCACAGCTGCAGAATAATTGTTTGGACACTTTGCATATTTTTCGGCCTAATGCATTGCTGATTTGTACACTGTTTATTGGTAATACTGGTATCTCTTGATTTTTTCTTAGTAGCTGATCAGCTAACTCTCTGTTAATTACACTGATAGTAGCTCCTGTGTCAATTAATGCCTGTATAGACTCATCTTCGATCATACACTGCAGATATGGGCTCACTGATATGTTATTTGCTTGTATATTATTTACTATATGGCTAACTTGGCTTTCCTGATCCGTGTCCTCATTGTTTGTCTCTACAGCATTAATTTGGTTTATCACTTGCTGATTCCTTACTTGTTGATTACTATTTCGATTATTTTCTCTAGGCTGTTCTTGATTATTCCTGTTTGCTTGCCTCCAATTTCCCTCTTTCTTTGTTGGGTTCTTTGCATTATTCTGTTGCTGTCTGTTTCCATAATTGTTTTTGTCTTGGTCTACTGTTTGTCGGTGTTCTTCGGTGCCGAGTATCTTCATTGCATTCAATATTGTACACTCAGGTAATGAAATGAGGATAGCCCTCAAATATCCCGGATAATGTCCTGCAATATTGCTAACAATTTCATTCTCTGCTAACTTTGGTACTTCGAGATGTCTTAGCTTGGTTGCCCAATATGAAAAATGTTCTCTGTAACTTGTTTCTGTTTGTATTTGTTTTGTATTGAGACACTGACTCCAAGTCTGCATCTGAATATCTCTTGACCAATACTCATCTTTAAATATGTTTTGAAAGTCTTGGAAACTATTTACCTGGAATCTTATAGTTGAAAACCAATTACTCGCAGACGCTCTTAAACAGTCCCCTGCCATTATCAATTTCTCATTTGTGTATGTAATCTGTTTCACCGCTTAGTATTCGTTGAGTCTGTTTAAGAAATCGATCGGGTGTATGTCTCTGCGGTTTCCGTAGAATAGTGGTTTAGTAATATCCGCGGCTGGTCCACGGTACGTTTCTTGTTTTTGATTCGGAGAGTTTTGCTGGTAGCTGTCTCCCAAATTTCTAAACGTAGTTATGTATCTTTTTTCCATTTCTTCGACTATTGTTTTATATTTTTCTTCTGTTTCTTGTATTTTTTTATTATATATTTCCTCCCATTGTAATTTTAAGTTTTGAATTTCTTCTTTGTGTTCATCTTTAATATTTCTGATTTCTTCTTTATGTTCTTCAATTTTTTTTGTTTGTTCTTTTAGCTGATTTTCAATTTCGACTAGTCTTCTCTCCCATCCTTCGCTAATTTCTTCACTCTTCTTTCTCCGTGGCATTTTATTAATTTATGTAGTAATCAAATATTACATTACGTAATAATTATTATTTAAGAGCACGATCTCTTAATTTTGTAGTCGTGGAGGTCGAGCACAACTTGTTGGGCGCCAATTTGTAACGGTTAAATTATATTGTATTTTAAATATTACAAAATATATCCATTTGCTTGTAATCAAAACGATTTATTACTTTCATAAATAATCTCAGTTCTAATAATTTCACATAAGTATTACAATTAATAATTGGTTGTTTAGAATATAATATAATATTGACGGAATACAAAATAATAATAATATAATGATTGAGAATATAATATAATATCGTCGGAATACAAAATAATAATAATATATATATAAGGATTTAGAATATGATATCACGATAAATACACAAAGGACACGGTTTGCTTTACATTCACAATTATAATAGTTTGTGTACTCACGAATATGTTTATGGTCTTTAATGATTCTGACCAATACAATTGATAATATAATTGATCACGGCGACGGTGCGGCTGATAGAAGCTCGGGGTTGTCTGGTGCAGGTACGTTCAAATACCCTTGCAGCGTGTTTACGGCGGCGTTGTGTTACTGTGGTAGTACGGTTATCGGCGGCGGTGGTTGAATGCGACGGCACTGCTAACGGCGGCGGTGGTGGTTTTATATATATATATTAGTACTCTAACTGTGTGGCCGAGAGTTACCAATACATATCACGGGTATACGAGTCGATATCGAGCAGCGAATAACTTATTAGTCGAACAGGAATCGATCTCTAGCTGAATAGCCAAGAGTGTCAATCCTGTTAACTGTATAAGTTACTATTCGGAAATGCGACGGTAAGTACTAGTGGTCGTCGATCCACAGTCCTATATAACAGTCTCCGATGATACTTCATATGTAGCGGCGGGTGTTGATGATTTTTGAGTGGTTATGTTTTTATTTTATTTTATAGGTTCAGAGTTTAAGTGTATCTTACATGAGTGTTATATTTTGCTCGCTTCGTTAATTATAGTATTAATAATATGGGATTGCATATTTATAATACATGAACTGATGTCTTAGACTGCCTGTATAATAAACTGAGCGCGTAAGGCGCTCTCTATGTAGGATAATCTGTACAAATACTTGATTTATGCTCAATGTCACCACTACGTGTCGCGCCGTGAGTGTATGATGTCACGCCGTGATGGGCACGATCATGGATAAAATCGTGTTCGCTACATGGGTTAAATGTTTTTACCAGAACCTACAACAGCTATTTGGAAAGAATCATCGAGTGGTTTTTATGAAAAATGGCAATTTCCTAACTGCATAGGTAGTATTGATGGGAAACACGTAACTATTAAATGCCCAGACAACAGTGGAACACGAAATTTTTGTTACCTAAAAAAGTTTTCGCTTGTGTTAATGGCAATAGTCGATCCAGATTATAAATTTATTTGTGTCGATGTTGGTGGTTACGGACGAAACTCAGATGGTGGAATTTTAGAAGAATCGGTAATGGGTAAACGTTTGGAAGCTGGGACATTAAGTGTGCCAAAAGGTGTACCATTTCCTGGGCAAATAGAAGACACACCCATGGTTTTGATTGGTGATGAAGCATTTGCATTAAAAACATATTTAATGAAACCATTTCCACGTAGGCAATCCAGAAACAATACGAGATTGGACACCTACAATTATAGATTATGTAGAGCTAGGCGAGTTGTCGAAAACGCATTTGGCTTTTTATCAAAAAAATGGAGAGTTTACAAAGGGCCTATAGAACTAAAAGAAGATACAACTATTAAAGTTATATTAGCAACTTGTATATTGCACAATTATTTACGTGTAAAAAAAATGTGACATAAGAGATGTAGAGTTAGATGATGATCAGTCAATAATTGGAGCCTTAGAGGAAAGCGAAGCTAACAATCGGAGAGGAACAAATGAGGCAATTCGAGTACGTGAACAATTCGTACATTTTTTTAACTAATTAATATTGCAGAATTGTTATAACTTATAGTATAATTTTTTTTATTATTATTTGATTTGTTGATCTGACTACTTTTACTTAAATTAGTTATTATATTTAGTATAATTTTGTTAGTTGGTAATTAATAGTTACAATATTTTCAGCACTTTAATATAATAACAAAAATTAAATGTTCACTACAATTAATTAATTAATTTTAATTAATTAATATTAATAATTACCTTTTTCTCCGTTCATTTCTTTACTTATAACATTATCCCATATATAATCTTTTTGTCTTGTATCTTTAAACTCTTGTAAGGTCATGTCGTACATTATCGGATAGTTTTTTACAACTAATATAAATTTTTCGGTATTATCTTTGTTTGAGAGAGACATGTTAATAATTTGAAAAACTGTAATATTTAACAATTAAATGTAAAATATGACGAGTAGCCACAGTCACAGACTCACAGCATAGACGTAATTGATCACAAATCACAGTACAATGTTGAATGTTTAGTAAAATTACGCATGTTCAAAAATAACATTTATTGAAAATAGACATTTCGGTGTAATAACTGGTGTTCTTAGAATAGGTACTTGTCTAGACGGTCTAGACGGAATTTTAATTAATTTTAATATTTCCAATTTATATTTTTACCCTAATGCATTTACAAATAAAGTATCTTACCTGTTTAAAATCGTATACACAAAGTACCTACACAGTACACACACACGTCATGTATATTAATTATCTTAAAATTTGGTGGTTCTGACAAAATATTTAGTTATATTTTAGCAGACAATTTCACAAAATCACGTCTATATCAACATTAATTTCTTGAGATATTGCAAAAGTTATCTTATAAAATCACAGTAGGTATCTATCCTCATCATAGGATTTATAATTAAAAAAAATTTAAAAATATATGTTTAAAATGTAACATGCAATTATATTTTCCTAATAAATTTATACTCTAATATAATGCATTATATCATGTAATTAAATCGGAGGCTCTCATCGAACTATCTGTCGATTGCATTATTGAAAACAAATAAGGGTTTTCTTTTTTAATAAATTTAGCTAATTCTCTTATGGTTATTAGATAATTTATGAGTTTCTGAAGATGAGGTGTAAATAATATGTGTACTCCTCGACCACGTTTCCCTAGTATAACTATACGTTTAAAACTTTTTGTTAATTCTAATTCCATTGGAGATAAAGCATTTAATATTTCCTCTTGGGAAATTTCTGAATCTGCATTTAAGTTTCGAGTAGTATTCTTTGAACTTCCCCTGATCGTCTTCTGTTCAGCAATACGATTTGTAATAATATGCTTTATTGTAGTTGCCGATAAGCCAAAATATTATTTTTGTTTGTTTTCAATTTTTATAAGATTCTTCTTCAATATTTAATACATGTTTTCTGAATAGTTGAATATCTGAGGTCAGTGGCAGCAGAGCAGGTTTATTCCATTTATTTTGATAAATTTTTTTACAAGCGTTGGACGAACTTCGTACGACCATTGCTTCTCAATCATGTACTTAAAATTATTAATTGACTCTCTTTTGCTTGTATTGGTTAAGATGCCATCACTTTCTTTTAACATAATAAATTCAGCTATATCGCAACACTGTTTTAATGATTGACCAAGTTTTAGTATTAGTGAAGGAGATCCAAATTTGTCTGTGTTTGCATCATATTGGGCAATTTTCTTAGTACACTTCACCTGGACATCAAAATATTTTGGGGACAAACAATCTAGAAGTGAACTGATTTCACTGATCTCACCTTTTACAGCCATAAAAAATCTAGCAAGGGAATGATATTGTCAAAGGGTTGGAGTGACTGCGGTCAGTCATTCCAGCGAGCAACAAAAAGTTGCTGCTTATGAGATTATTTACACGTCGACTGTAGTACAGTGATAATTTTATTCCGTATATGCATTATGAAGCATCTGATATAATACATGATCTATAAGAGAAGCGTTTGGCTGGAATTCAATCGACAATAACTAAGGTTATAACACTGCTAGTGTCTAACAAGTAGTTAATAGTACATATATCTTTGAGCTGTTCTGCTTATTCGTTCGACCAACACAGATAATAAAAAATATATGAATTTCATTTTCTGTAATGTTAAATTTTCCTCAATTCTATACCTATGAGATTTCAGTATTTTTAGGGACTTACTTACCACCCATAAGTCAAAGGGAGAACTTAACCCACGTCCTATAAGCCACACCGGTGGAACTTATAGGTTTTGTACACAGTACAAGTTAAGGAGCTAGATCATTCAGTTACGTTACGGTAGGTTCGGAGACGTGACGGAACGGTGAAAAAGCGCACACTAGATGCGTATCTTTCCGTCTTGTCCTACCAGGAGAATCGTCACTCTACGTTTGAACTTAGAGGTGTGTGTTTCATGTTTCATCGTGGTTTTAAAGTTAATTTTGTTATTTTACTTAATTGTAATATCACCATGGACTTTTCTTCCGATGAGGTTCTCCTTGTAATAGCGAGTATCGCAGATAAGAAAGAGACAAGAGAAAAAAACATTTATAAGTTCATAACATAAATTTAAAAAGAGATGACACGGAGAATTTCATACATTATTTCCGGATGGGTCCGCAAAAATGTTTTGAACTACTCAACATGCTGCTGCAACTTACTGACGTTGTATTCCTCCGGATGAAAGATTAGCAATCACCCTAAAGTAAGTAAACATAGTTTTAATTTTTTAAACGAAATCAATTAAATCAATTAATATTATTATTATTTATTAAATAATGTTAAGCACTATTATATATTAAGATAGATGTTCAAAATTACTATACATTTATTTTTGTAATATAACCTGTAAAGAATTAATTAAAACAATTATAAAACATAATTAAAATATTTAGTGGATATTAGAAAACATGTATGCAATCTAGAACTATATTAATTATTTATATGATATGTATAAATGTAGGTGTAGTTATTTAAACAGTTAATATGATAATGAGACATTTTTAATTATGAAGAATACCTAAAATAAAATATTTATAGGTCTAAAATTTGACATCTTAGAGGCTATAGTAATTATTATCTACGCTGTTGACTTCAAAAAACTCTTCATGGCCATTTATCACAAGATTGTTTCGTATCCTGTATACCTTAATTCGTGGTTGCTTCCATTGCAATAAAAAATGACTCAATGTGATCACTAGGTAATTCTAATTTGGCTTTTTTTGAAGGTAAGTATTTTTCCAGAACTTGAGCAGTCGTCGACTGTTGAAGTGATTTACTAGTTTTTCTGTTATTACTCGGAATGCTGTTTTCATATTCGACTATAGTGGAAACATTTTATATTTCGTTTAGCAATCGGATTGGTGAGTCTACGGTTCGTAAAATAATTGATGAAACATGCGGAGTCCTATGGGAAGTTTTGCAACCTATCTATATGCCCCAACTGAATGTGGAACAATGGCAACGAGTTGAAGAAAAATTTTGCCAAATCTGGAATTATCCAAATTGCAAAAGTGCATTGGACGGAAAACATTGCGTAATGGAAAAACCACCAAAAACCTGCTCCATGTACTCTAATTATAAAAAAGAATTCAGTATTGTATTTAATAATAATTTACGCTCTCGTTGATGCAGATTAGAAGTTAGTAACTGTTGATGTTGGTGTTTACGGGAGAAACAGTGATGGTGGAATTTTTAAATAATCATCTTCGTGACAATCCCTTGCTAATGGGACTTAAAATATCCTTCCACCAAAATCGTTACCACTTTTAGACGAAATCGTCCTTCATGTGATTGTTTGCGGTGAAGCATTTTCTCTCAATAAAAATCCAATAAGACCGTTTCCAGAAATCGCACTTGAAAATAATCGAGACATAAAGTCTATAACTATCGCAATTTCCAAGCTAGAAGAGTTGTTGAAAATTTAAAATTTACAACAGAAAATTCAACTTGAAACCAGAGAACATGGACACAGTTATATTGCTGACGACAGTGTTGCATAATTTTTTGTGGAATGATGAATGTTATTGGCAGCCTGGAGAAGTGGAGAATACAAATATTCCAGAAGGGTTGAACAACTTTACAAGAGTTGGAGGAAATAATCCAAGAGAAGCATTTTTTATAAGAGAAAATTTCAAACAATTGTTTGTGTCAGCTGGTTCAGTACCGTGGCAGGGGGAGAAAGCGTTGTAAACTCGAAGTAATCATTGAAAACGAATGTTATCTATATTAAAAATTAAATTAAAATTAAATATTTTATAAAATGATAGTATTAAGTAGATTAGGACGATTAGGTAGTATAATTTTAAAACAAATTATATAGAGCGGTTTTTTTAATTTACTTTAAAAAGGTAAGACATTATTAGAAAATAAATCTTATAATATTATAATATTTTAGTATGTGTACACGCAATTTTATTTTTAGTTAAGTCTTACAGCATTTTAACTATGTAGAAGTATTATACAATGTTCAAAATGTTCAATGAAAATAAATTATACTTACCAGAACTTCCCATTGCCTTTGTTACTTCTTCTTATGCACTCTTTATCAGCGTGTCCTTTGTCAGTTGGATCATAAATAAATGTGTATTTGCGAACCCACAAATATTGCGTCTTCCATAATTTATTTAAGTGTCTGGGGAGAATTTCTGAAGGGATTTTATATTATTATCATAGATCTGTTTTCAACGAATTTATTACACCTATATTTTAAATATTTCACTATAGATAGGTGCATTAGTTTTGATTCTAAAAGAAATTATTCTATAAGATGACACAGGAAACATGGCTTTGTTTATGTATTAACATACATACGATGTATTTATTCTTGTACTAGCTGTCTAGCTAGACCAATATTTTGCCTAGAAAAGTGGCTACT